TTGTTTATAATGACTTTTGCTAAAATTTCAAAATCAAAAGTTATCAAAACCAATTCTGTGGGACTGAGAAATATTATTTTCTACTTTTTAGTCCATTTATAAAAGCGTTGTATTTAAAAAGTTTTTTATTTTTTATTTTATTTATTTTCTATGTGGTATGCGAGTATCGTACAATACTAATTTGGACGTCTGCCGGCACACCCCCACGCCAAGAGCTTACACGGGGGTTACAATTATAGCAAAAAATTAGCAAACAAAATTCATAGCCGCATAAGCGAAACTTATTGTACGTATCATTTGACATATAAGAGCTACAAAAATATAGGCTGCCATCTAAATTCCAAGGCAAACGTCGACTGCCACCAGCGAAAATATCGAAAAAAAATTATTTCCACAAAGATTAAATTAATTAAAATGCTTCTTTTTATAGATGCAAAGAGAAAAGCAATAGACTGCCGCCAATAGCATACAGCGAAGATCGTCTGCCAAGCCTATGAAGTTGCGCATGGCAAGCATCGCTGTATTAAGTGTAAATATGAGTTATTGGCCAAAACGCTTAAAAATATTAGAATGATAGTTAAACAATCGGAGTGAATAAAATAAATCTATATTTTATCCATTTTTATGATTATTTTAACAACTATAGCCACATTCAACATCTCTGCTTCCTTTACATCGCGGTTCAAGAACACCCAGTCAAAATGTTGGTATTTGTATATTTTGACAGGATATTAACCAGACAGAAGAAGACAATTTTTTAATTGTTAGTATGCACAATTATGCAGTCTTCGTGAATTATCTCGTGAAAACAAGTGCATGCCAAATGTGTCTAAAGATGTCTGATGTGAAGCCGTACTGCGTTTTTTGTCGAAAAACAACAGGGAAATTGCAAACATTTGTCACCAATACTCTGAATAAAAGTGCATATATTCTTTCAATTCTCAAGAAGAATAATTCAGATTTAAATGACGTTATCTTGCGTTTTATCACAAGAAATACATCATTTATTTGCATTTAAATCCTCTGGCGATGTTTGTAGAAATTTCTCGGCATTCTGTTCTTCTTGTACAATACCGTGACTCATCGGATTTTGAGGTATAGCCTCATATTCTCGTATATTTATTTCCATATCCAAATCAGAGCTCTGTGGCACATGTTCGATATCACAGCTCTCATGGGAATCAATATTTGCACTGCATAAAATACTCACAATACTAAAATTTGTTAAATATAAGTAAGTCAAACACAATTTGTACTATATTTTAACCTTAATCTGAAATCATTCTCTGGACTGAAAAACATAATTATGTACATTAAAATTCATATATGAGCCGTTCAGTGCACAAATTGATTAACTCCATCAACAAAAACTTGGGCGATGCGATCAAATAATGTATATTATTTCTTAAAATTCCATTTATATTATCAAATCAAATAAATAATATTTTTATAAATATTATTTGCTATTGTATGTTATACAAAGTTATTATAAACGTAATAAATTATTGGCGTTATTCGTAAAAAATAAAGTAGCTTTAAAAAAGGGTTATAAACTGGAAAATGTATGAAAACTTCATTTTATAAAGCTCTTTAAACCTGCTTTATTGTTTGTGAATAAGGCCATATGTCTATACCAGGTTCTTTGCCACTTAAATTTAAATTTTCCAAAAAGTGGAGTAAATCGATGTGTGCACTGAACAGCTCATATGTACATACTTAAATATGTACATAAGCTTAAAATCCGCACAACTTTGCGAACATTTGGAGAAAATTATGAATTCGCAAAAGTAAACAATCGAAGGGAACATGGAATGACCCTTAAACAAAAATAAGTGCCAAGTGTATGTCCGCAGTCCAGCAGTCATCCCGTTTCCAACATACTTCGGACAACAACAAAAGAGAGGTGCAGTGATATCCATATGTACATATATATTTATGTACATGCATATCGTCGTTTAAAATACAAAACCGCGTATCGTGGTTATGCAAAACTTCGTAACTGACATTTGAGCCAAAAATAAGATTTGCGCACCGGAACATCAAACCTTATCCGTTTATACCCAAATATCGATATTTAGATATAAAAGGTAGAAATAATTGGTAATAAAAGAGAGAACCGTGTTGAAAAAAGACAGGTTTTTATCCCTCCTATATAATTTTGGCAACCTGATATATGGGGCTTTGCATTCTCTTGATACGCGGTTTTCTACTTTAAACGACGATATACTTACTGTTCGTCTTCCTATGTGTGGTTCTTCGTGGATTTTTATTTTAATACATTTCGGTAGCTTAGAGTGAAACGTTGCTAAGTCCACTTTTACGAATTTTACAAAGAGGAAAATAAATAACCAAATTATTTACGCCAGCACGTCTCACGGAGTGGAGCGCTCAGACGTAAAGTAATAAAAAGTAAAAAAACAACTCGATTTTAGTGTTGAGTATATAATACTTGCAATAGCCTGTGAAAATACAACACCATATTGTCTTGTTGATTTTACCTTGATGTGATTTTACCTTGATGTGAGCGTGGTAGCTGGTGATCGGTTGGAATTCCTCAGGGAAGTGACTATGTTAAATTGAAATTAGATCCGTTTAACCCGCCGAACAATGACTTTTCGTTCAGTTTCTCCTCAAATCAGTTATTGAACGGCAGATAAATTGGACGCGTATGCGTATTAGAGAGTATAACTTTAATTTGTATAGATACACGCGCATATGTATATGTATATATATACGTGTATGTGCATACGGTCTATATTACCGCTCATTAGGGTGGTGCGCTATATTTAGGCCGGAGGCCTAAACATACCGGCCCCTTGCGGTGAGCAACCTCAGTAATCGATTTAGACGCCCATCTATCATGCCACATGGGAAAATACAATTTTTATTTTTTATATATTTTTTTTCTATATAACTTAATCTAACAATGTGACAGGTTGTATTACGGTCCCCGTTCGCCACGTCCACTGTTTCACCGCCGTCCCTAAACTGCCAATAAATAGACAGGGGTTAATTAAAAATACGTGGTTTTAAATTTCAATGCACTTTATTACCATGAAATCATGAATTTATAAACAGAGGCGTAGGCATGCCATTTGGGTTATAATTTATTATTTTTGAAGAGCTCCGGGCACAACTAAGCCCAAGACAGTGGGTTGGGCCAATAGCCCACTAATCGTAGATGGAGCGGAGCCACTCATCATTATTTGGGCGTAAACATCGACACCCAAAGTCAACCGGATTGGTGAGGCCCGATAGAAATAGGAATCGGCCAACCGCAAGAATCGGAATGGCGCGGCGACCGTGGGGGCGATACTCGACGGTGGACTGAGTCGGTTGTGTCGCGGTATTATTATTGCTTGGGTAATTATTCTCTCCGTAGCGCCATACTTCCCTCGTAGGACGAGCGAACACCTTTTTTGTCGCCCTGAGCGGCTTCGTTCTAATTCCAGATCACGGGCCAAATCTGCGTCTATAATGCTGTTAGGCGCGCAAGAGTCTACTAGAGCTCGAACGAGGTGGAGGCCGCCACTCGACTCTATCCGCACGATTGCTGTCGGTGCAATCGGTTCGAACGAACGCGTTATTGATTCCCTTGTTGTGCCGGCTAGTCGGCCCGTTCTAAAACCAGTCAGTCATGCGTCCGGAAGAACGAGCGCTGATCTGTCCTCTCCTCGTAGTCGTTGGTTCCGACGATATTGGACTGATCTACCTTGCCCGCGCCGATACAAGCGGAAATAACGGGTTTCCGCGCCGCCCCGTCGCTGACCATTAAACCGTCGGGGCGGTTGGAAGGTTTCCGAGCCGCCTGTGCGTAGTATTTGGGGCTGGCCAGGTGGTCCGAACCGACTAGGTCCGCAGCCAATCTGCCTGGGCGGTCGAAAAAAACTGGTTTCCGAGCCGCGCATTCGCCAGTCGTTCTGTGGTGGTTGTCGGAAAGTACGAATTTCCGAGCTGCAAGTCTCTTCAGAGGGAACCATTACGTCGTCGACGACCGACTCGGCTATTCTTTCGTTTTGCTCTCTTTTTTGTTCTTCCACCTGCTGAGCCCATGATTTTGTCTGCTCGGTGACGTGAATCGACAATTCACCCTGTGAGCTGTCGTCTTCGTCGGTCTGACTACGAGCTACCTTTCTACGATCGTCACCGGTTTCAATATGCAGAGACGTATGGTGCTTCTCACGACATCTGTGGCATCGGTCAGTGCTGCTGCAGATCTCCAACCGGTGGAATGGTGACAGGCAATTCGGGCAGTAGCGGTGTATGAGCACTTCTCGTAGCCTTTATTTTGCCGACTTGCTGCGGTAAATTGGGCAGAGTCGCACCCCATGGTTTTTGTTGCATAATCGGCAAGCGATCGCGAATTCTTCAGAGTGCATCTCAGTCTTTGTGCGTAATACCGTGAATCGGGTCATTCTGCAATGTGAGCCACTTTGAATGGGCAACGTTCAATTTCTTGAACAGTCATAGTTGGGTGGCAAGTGGTGGTTCCCTAGCTATTTTACTATTTGAGGAAATTTTTTATTTTAATTATATTTGTATAATATTGGCTGCGTGTGGTTGTGGCATTATTTATGTAAATTTTGGAGAGTTCGTTTGATTGTGGAATTGTTGGCGTTGCGTTCAGCTAACCGGTAGATGGCACTGTTGCCTTGTATCTGTGGCAACACTTGCCACCCTCTGTCGGAATTGTACAGCAACGCATTACATGCATCTGGCATTGCTACGATATCAACTCCTGACAGAACAGCTGATAGATTTCACAATCTTTTTGTATTAACGACTGCTTCACATCGAACATCTTGAATTATAATAATATCTTAGATTAGAAATAAAGAGAAAGTTTTGTAGTTGTACTGGTGAGTCTTTTATTGAACCAGTAGACTAAAGTGGTGACCCCGACGTTCAGGATTCAACCGCACATGCACAACGGACGATATTTTCTACGTTCTTCGAATAATCCCCACGCAGAAAGAGAAGAGTTTTAAAACGCAGAAAATATGACAGCAACAGAGAATAGCCTCACTGAAGAACTCTGTGAGTTGAAGGAGCAACTCAGGCTACTGCAGGTGGCACCGCTGACGGAACAAGCAACTTACTCGCAACAGCACGTACAAGTGAACATTCCGAAATTTAACAAGGCAAATCCAGACCTTTGGTTCGCACAATCGGAACGTCTATTTACTCTGAACAATGTCGTGGCAGATGGTCGTAAGTTCGACTTAGTGTCGGTGCTTCTTGAGGCTGACATTGCCCATGCCGTCGAAGATCTATTAAAGCCACCTAAAAGCGACAAATACAACGCATTGAAGCAAAGATTACTTGACAAATTCGCGGAGTCAAACGACTCTAAACTCAGAAGACTATTGCATGGTGGCGACATGACGGGTAAAAAGCCTACAGAAATTTTAGCACATATGCGTCGTGTAGCTCCGTCTACAGGCTCTGAAAGTATTTTACGTACGTTGTTTATAGCTGAGCTACCTAAAAATATACGTCCGCTCATATCTGTATGGGAGGATAAAGATCTAGATAAATTTGCAAAAATGGCAGATAAAATTCTGGAAACCAGTGATACGGACTCTGCATATGCAATGTCAGCAGTAGTGTCACTGCCGGAGCAGAAAAGGCAAGAGGTAGATGCAATAAACAGCAAAAAACTCGACGTAACAGATGTTGCGTTAACACTGCGCTCACTCTCTGAGAAAGTCGACAAGCTAAGTGAGGAGGTGCGTTACTGCAGAAAAAGTACATTTTCTCGTTCACAGAATGGGAATGAGGGAAGTGACAAGAAGTCACTTTGTTATTATCACACCAAGTTCGGCGATAATGCACGTAAATGCCAACCAAACTGTTAGTGTTTCCAACAGTTAAACTAAACCTGCTGCCGTTGACTCAGCTGGCGAGCGGCAGCGATTCTAGAGCCAGAAATTTTTCCGTTCACGAATCTTCACTCAAAAATATTGAAGTCCGTTGTGCCCGCACTATAGCACCTCATAAGCAAACACAAGGCAGACTACAACTGTATGCCGCAAACCAAACTCTTATACAAACTTACGGTGACCAAGATTTGGAGCTGGATTTGGGCTTAGGATATGCGTTTAAATGGTCTTTTGTCGTGGCTGATGTTCAAACAGCGATCATTGGAGCTGACTTATTGGCAGAGTTCCACTTGCTGATAGACATCAAGCAGCAGCGCGTCATTCATACAGCAAGAAATCTTTCAACTAACAACATTGCAGAGCGGTCACATAACCTTACTGCAGCTACTATAGATAAGGAGAAGCGTTCTCAGAATATTTTTCAAGAGACGAAGGTCATGCAGGCCGATGGTAAGAGTGTCTTCGCCGGTAATACCGGTAGACTTCACACGGTATGTCACTACATCAAAACATCCGGCGCACCAGTGGCAGAAAGGCCACGGCGTTTAATGGGCGAAAAGCGTTCATCGGCGAAGGCTCAAATCGATCTGCTTATTGATGATGGAATTTGTCGTCCCTCTAAAAGTCCATGGGCTAGCCCTCTGCATATGGTAGCAAAAATGAATGGGGGCTGGCGAGCGTGTGGCGACTACCGCAAGCTTAATTCCATTACCGTACTTGATCGCTACCCAATTCCCCATACCCACGATTTCGCTGATCGTTTGCACAACAAAACTATGTTTACAACTTCGGATCTAGAACGGGCATATTATCAAATCCCAATGGCTCAGGAGGACATTGAAAAGACGGCTGTATGCACACCCTTCGGTCTGATCGAATTTTTATATATGCCGTTTGGGCTTAAAAATGCGACACAAACATTCCAGCGGTTCATGGATCAGATTTTCTGTGGAGTTGACTATGTGTTTTGTTATATAGAGGACATTCTAATAATGTCGGAATCAGCAGAGAAACATAACCAGCACATTCAGAACTTCTTACAGATTTTGAAGACACACGGTCTCAACGCCAACGCTAACAAGTGTCAGTTTAAGAAAACCGAAGTTCAGTTTTTAAGCTATACAGTCAGCAACAAGGGCATTGAAACGCCCAAAGATCGGGTAAGTGCAATTTTAAGTTATCCAAAACCGCAAACGATCTGTGAATTAGGCCGGTTTCTGGGAATTTTAAATTATTATCGTCGTTGCATATCGCATGCATCACACATACAAGCTCCGCTGAACGATTTAGCGCGGAATATGAAAAAAATTACAAACGACCTGTTCCGTGGACTCCGGCTGCTAACAAAGCATTTGTCGATTGCAAGAATAGCCTAGCTAATGCAGCGGTCCTTAGTCATCCTAATCCAAATGCAGATCTTAGCCTTACGTCTGACGCATCGGACACAGCCATTGGAGCCGTGCTAGAGCAGCGTAATAGTGGCACATGGGATCCTCTCGGTTTTTTTTCAAAGAAACAAAGCCCAACCGAACGTAACTATAGCACTTATGACAGAGAGTTGTTGGCGGTTTACGAAGCAATTAAATATTTTAAGCACATGATAGAGGCGAGAACGTTTGTGATTAAAACTGATCACAAGCCACTCATATACGCTTTTGCTCAAAGACCGGGAAAAGCTTCGCCACGCCAGCTGCGACATTTAGACTATATCTCTCAGTTTTCTACGTCTATCATGCACGTGTGCGGCAATGACAATGTGGTAGCGGATGATCTTTCGAGATTAAACGCTATATCCATGCCAACTTCTGTCGATACAAAAGACATCGAGGCGGCTCAAGCAGGGGATGAGGAAATGTCAACAATTTTAAATGGCGAGACATCCCTACATCTACAAATTATACAGGAAAATGACGCCCTGATATACTGCGATGTGTCGAATGGTAACGTGCGTCCATATGTGCCTCAACCTCTACGGTACAAAGTTTTTTCAAACGTACATGGCTTCTCTCATCCTAGCGGCAGAGCTACACTCAAACAAATTTGTCGTAAATTTGTTTGGCCTTCCATGCGAAACGACATTATCGAGTGGTCACGGAATTGTTTATCATGCCAAAGGGCAAAAATTCATAAACACAACACCGTAGTAGCAGAGAAGATCAACGTTCCTGATCACAGATTTGAACATATCCATCTAGACATTGTAGTGATGCCCTTGGTCAATGGCTATAGATACTGTTTAACAATGATTGACCGGTTTTTTCGTTGGCCGGAGGCGGTACCCTTGAAAGATATGACGGCGGAAACTGTATGTATGGCACTTTGGACTCATTGGATAGCGCGCTTCGGCTGCCCCAAAATCATTACAACCGATCAGGGCTCCCCGTTTGAGTCGTCACTTTTCAAATCACTGTCGAATATGGTGGGAAGCGAACATATTCACACCACCCCATACCACCCGCAACCCAATGGCATGGTAGAGCGGTGGCACAGATCGTTGAAAGCTGCGTTGATGTGCAGTCCGGAGACACAGTGGACAAAACTACTACCAACCGCCTTGCTCGGTCTTCGTACGTGTTTCAAGGAGGATCTTCAGACTTCAGCTGCTGAGATGTTGTATGGTTGCACGCTTCGCCTCCCCAACGAATATTTTTTCGATATAGACACTCCATCTAATCCGGTAGAGTTCTTCAACAAATTTCGCCGTAGCATGCAAGCTGTGAGGCCTGCTCCAGCATCGCATCACGACAAGC